GGACGAAAGAAGAATATTTTATTTATTTGTCCATTCTCCTCTCTTCCAATTTGTCTTCCGTTATATATGATTGCGTCACCCACGCGGTTGTTTTATTTAAAATTGACACGCACATTCCAGTCGTCGTTTTAATATTTTTTTTTTTTAAGTTAAGTGTTCATTTGTTTCTGCAACGAAAATTACACCCAAATGGTAGGCGACTTTATGCCTCAGACAAGAGAATTTCGCCTGTCTATAAATTTTAACTGAAATGTATTAATATGTATCTCTAAACAACACAAAAAAATGTTCACCCCGAAAAACAAAATATGTGTTAAAAATCAACCGCTATTATGATTACTTTTAATTCTACTGGCATAGGGAATGAAGGTCTTTGCTTCAATGCCTAATGATTTTTTTTTTTTTTTGCATGCTGCAGGTGTCCGGTTTATCTCATTTGATCGGGCAACATCTGGGGAGGCTAGCGCACCTCTCCCCTGGTCTGCTCATGGCGGCCCTGTCCATATTTTGCTCCTTCATGACGGAGCTCATCAGCAATGCGGGAACCGTCACCGTACTTCTACCTGTGTTTGCCGCAATGGTAAACTTGGACTTAACCTAATACATTTTCTGTCTTATAGTTCCTGAAATTAGGAGACGAATCGCTCGCCTCCTCGCTCGGCCCATACTTCTGTGCTTTTGTACCTCCGCCATTAAAAAAAAAAATTTTTTTCACGATCACTTCTGTACAGAAAACATGATGGCCCGATGATTCCGATTTACGGAACGCACACAACACATGCTGAAGTTCAGAGATATTTGGCTCGTAAGCGAATTCTGCCCTTTCTAGTTAAATATTATTGATGGCGAATTATGGACGCTTAGGTAAACTTGAGACATAGTAGCTGCACTTTCGTGCCCAAATAATGACTTTAGTCACTGAAAACTCCGGGGACATAATGAATGAATGTGTGATGTTCGCGTTCCGTGCTTTGTGATCGTTTTTCGGTGTGTTGTATTGGCGAATCTTGCAATTCATTTGGCTCTGATTCGGGTCTATAATGAAATGCTCCACATGCCACACCCGGCGTAGCTTTCGGCGACTGCGGCGTGAGAAACTGATTTTTACCTAATATTTTGTAGGGGCTACTGTCATTTGTCCCACGCCGTGTACTGACGTCCTTCACGTTCATCTTTTGATGGGTGTCTCGTTGTTATCAACTTGAATATGAGCGTCGTCGTCCCCACAAGCTTTCGTGCCTGACCGGAATCGGTACTGCGCAAGCTTTCGATGGCTTCTGGTTGCCCTACGCATGTAATAGCCAGACGGCAACAGCCAGGCGGGGCCAGCAGGGGGAGAGCCCACGGTTATACCCTGTCTCGTTGTAACTTGTGAAACGGTAAACGATAATCCCCACATTGCGTGCCAACGGCTTCAATATGCTCTGCGTATGCGAGCGCAACGCACAGATATTGGAGCATGATGCAGCGAAAAGCATGATGCGTCTTCGCAATAAAAGCGCACTCTAGTGATACGTGGTCACGTTCCGATTGGCCCGCCAAGGTCGTAGCTTCCGGCGTACTGCCATGTTATGCGATCACGCTTTCCTGGCTTACCCAGCATTTCTCGCTTCAGACACTGGGCTGAGCGGCGCTGCCAAAGCAATAGCTCATGTTTAAATAACGCAGCCGCCACTCCCAGGCATACCCAATGTTTCTTGCTTCAGTCGCTAGAGAGTGCCAAACCCTCCTAAAGTCTAAAAACAGAATGCTTGTTAGTTCACATTCTGCGGATCACGGAGACGGCCAATCGCGGCGAACCACACACGAATCTCAAAGAACGACGAATCTCAAAATAAGATTCGATCTCCAAATGCGATGTGTTCAAGGGCGATGAGGAAGTGCATGAGGCGTCTTGCTCATTGACTGTGCACATTACCTTTTTTCATATCTGATCGTATTTTTAGTTTGTTTTTTTTCATTCGCTCGTACACTTCCGTTGTTCATCGTGATTGGCTGTCTACGGGACCTGCAGGAATGTGCGCTCACATTTCCTCACTAGAGATAAAGTTCCTCAGCTGGTGGAGTAGCTAACGTGGCTCCCTGCACACTCCCATTCGCATTATTTGGCATTACATTCCCGTACTCTCTCCCTTTTTCTTTTAGAGCGCAGCTCTGAGGCGCCCACTCCCGGCTTGAGCGGCGTCGCCGTCGCCGTCGGGGTAAACGCGCGTTGCATGTGCACTGTATGCTACCGCGCGTTGCATGCGTGTTGCATGCAACCCGCGCGTTGCATTATGGGCAGTTTCCCATAATGACGTCACGAGGGCTACCCTCCTGAGTGTTACGAGGGTTACTCTAAAAAGGGTTACGAGGGTTACCCTCACGAGGACCATGAGGGTTACTCTCTCGAGGGTCACGAGCGCTACCCTCACGAGGGTTACGAGGGTTAGTTACCCTCAAAAGGGTTACCCTCACGAGGGTCACGAGTGGTACTCTCACGAAAATTTGAGGGTAACCCTCACGAGGGTCACGAGGGTTATGAGAGTTACCCTCACGTAACCCCCCCCCCCCCCCCCAAGGTTACGTGACCTCAGGGAGTCACCTATTCCCCAGTACCCTTTCATCCTCCTCCTCAAGAGCTGCGCTCTAAACCGGCGTTACAGGGAGTTGTAAAGGGCTTCCATTTTTTCTGGCGTACATTTCAGATTTGCTCAGCTTGCTGATCTTTGACGGTTTCACGAGCACCCTCTCTCATTTTTTTGAAGTTGCCGAAATCTGTAATTTTGTCACCGTTCACCTTTCTCCGTTTCACCATAACGCTGAGATAGACATTGTTTTTCGAATGTTAAATTTCATCTAAATTTGTTTTTTGCTTTCAGGCGGAGGAACTCAAGATAAATTCACTCCTATTTATGATTCCGGCGACAATCACGAGCAATTTTGCTTTTTTGCTTCCGGTTGGGACACCAGCCAACGCTATTGTGTACGAACACGCTCGTCTCAAGCTGTCTGATATGGCAAGTAGTTTCTTTGTGTCTAAATGAAGAAAAAAGATCTGCTTTTAATCTAGAATGCTATAGCAAAGCAGCGTGAACACCGCCGCCCCCCTCCCCTTTGCGTTTCTCGATTTTTCCTTTTTTGTCCCGAAAGAAGTCAAAATCTGCCCTGCATTTTGCGGTGTATCGCAGCGCCACCTAGATAGGGATGCGCAGTGCCAATTTTTTTATGTGAGCAATTGAGGAACAGGGCGGGTCACAGGTGGAAAACGAGTGCTGCGTCATCGTTGGGTTGGGACTCGTGGTCTCACTGATTGGACACCAGGTCCAGCCGAACGATGACGTTGCACTCGTGTCCAATATGTGTCCCGCCGTGGCCCCCACTTGAGGACGTAGAAAATTCAGAATCGTTTACCTCAAAAACCATACAAAAAAACAAAAACAAAAAAAGAAAAGAAATCTGGCTTTTTGAGGAGCATGTTTACATTCCCCTTTTATGGAAAGAATTTAAATATTTCGGTCCATTTTAATTTAGATACATGTTTCCTTTATCACATTTCCACATTTCAAACGCCAAAAGCATCGCTGCTTCCTCCAACGATCAAATCTTGAAAGAACTACTTCGCGTGACGTGTAAACAATGCGTAAAACCTTTTTTTTTCTCGAGATGAAAATGACTATAGGGGGTTTAGGATATTTTCTTCGAGACGTGCGGGTTAATTCTGCGCAAACAGGAGAGGGCGGGAGGATATGGGGAAGAAGATGCATAGCGGGGGCCTTAAGCCGGGTGAAAAAGCATTTTGTGGTGGACGTATGTCCCTGTAAAATTCTAAATTGATTATAATAATCGCGCAATTTTTGACCTCGTTGTCTTTTGTGTACATTTTTAATATTCCTATTGTTGTACTATCGGGGAAAAATGAAATGCGAACAGAGGAGCGCGTGGTTCGCGGTACAGGCTGCGCCGCCTGGAAGTGAACCTAGGGGCGAGGGTCCGTGGCCTACTTTGATGTGTTCACGCCCCTCGATTGGCGCTCCCCCAGCTTCGGCAGTGCGCCTCTCAGTGCACTGAAAGCTGTCACCGCTATCTTTGCCTGCTCGGCGAGTGCGGCGAGCTTCTTTGCACCGCCCGCGCTGAGCCAGCAAAGATAGCGGTGATAGCTTTCAGCGCACTAAGAGGCGCACTGCTGAAGCTTGGGGAGCGCAGAGGGAGGGGCTTGAACACGTCGGAGTAGGCCACGCACCCTCGCTCCTAGGCTCACTTCCAGGCGGCGCAGCCTGTACCGCGAGCCACGCGCTCCTATGTTCGCATTTCATTTTTCCCCGATAGTACCTATAAACGTTGAGTATGCATACTGCTGATAAATGAAAGAATAAAAGTGGGAAACGGCAATGCTATCTAAAAAGCGGACTTACAATTCTTAAAGCCTGAAAAGCCCGCTTTGAGTTGGCGAGGGTATCACGAGCTGCTGACACGTTGTCTTCCACGCTACTGCTCGCACGGGGTGCAAGTTTTTTGCCTTTTGTGCGAGATAAATTGACACACTTTTAGGAATACAAAACATGTTCGAAAGATTAAAGAAATATAATAAATGTTTATACGACGTTTATTCTTGATGACCTGCTTGAACTTAAGCGTCCGTCGTGACTATCTATAGGATTCCCCAAACCTGACTATACTTCGTTTCAGCTGTAGTCCAGACACAGCCAATGCTACGAGCTAATGTGACCTATCAAGGAGCGTCAAAAGCGCAAGTCACTGGGCCTTTTCCGTTTATGATTGCTCCAGCGATGATAGAAGACCTACAGAACCATGATTAACTCCATGGTGGTGAAATTTTGAAGCTGTCTGATAAGTCCCATTAGGTCGGCTGCGTCTGGACCTAAGGCGAAACGAAGCGTAAGGGAGTGTACGGTGTAACTACAATAAAAAAATGATAGTTCACTGACGTACTATAAATGTTGCATCGGACTAATCTGTACTTGAATGTCGCCCCTATTTCTTCTTCTTGTATTTTTCAGGTTCTTCCAGGATTTTTAGCGAAGGTGATTACTGTGATGACGACGGTGGCTGTGACATACGTCCTCGGAGACCCTGTGTTTGGAATGTTTCAATATCCTGATTGGATATACGAGGCGCGCGTCGCAAACGGAACTCACGTATGATGCCAAACGGCAAGATCATCAAGCTTTACGGATGTGGAGTCATCTGCAAGCAGCAGCGACCATAGTCATTACCAGACCAGCAGCCTTTCTGCTCCAAACATCAACGCGTGGTTCCCTTCGTTCACGTTTCCTCCGACAAATTGCACATAGTAGAAATGATGTGAATTCACGTTAATACTGGCGGTTGTCGCCGATATAAGGAGATGAACATAGTCTAGAACCATAGAACCAGGGCGCGAGAATGTCAAAAAGGAAGGAAGACGACCAATGATTATCTTGAATAGGTAAAAGGGCATCGAGGAGAGGTGTGGGCATACATTCAGAAGAAAGTCGGTACGTGGCTTCAGGGGAACGGACTACAAGGATGGAAAGAAGCAAAGCAAAGAATATAGAAGAGTGGTGATGTGTTTAAATGTCCAACAGTGGTCATAGCTTGTAGGGAAAGCTACGTGAGCTGTAAGGAGCGTCAAACAGTTAGTGCGATAGAGTCGTAGCAGTGCGGAGGCGGCAGCTTTTGTGCAATTTATCAGTGCCGCCAGAGGGCCATGTGTGACCCGGTGCTAAGAGGTTCTAACCTCTGCTCGCATTTCTCGGTTGGTTACTGTCTACTCCTGTCCTAACTTTCGTGATGCCTTTTGGTCTAGTCAAAGACCAGTACGCTGTCGGAAACCAGAATATATGAGTGCGCTAGTCTCACCGAGGGCTTTCAGTAGCAAAAGAACCTGTGCATACTTTCGACAAGGAGGGAAACTGAAACCGTAACACTTGTGATTCTTTCATTGCCGACGGCGAGGATTTTATTCTGGTGTCAAGTCCCGTGCCGTCCCCAAATGGCGTTTTGTGCGCAAGCAGCCGCCGTGTTGGACACGTTTATTTTTAAACATTTATTTTCCTTAGAGAGACCACACTGTCAACGTTAGACGTCTGAAAAAAAATATTTGTCTGACGAGGCTGGCGGTGGACGTGTTGTGCGTGCACATTCCCGCAAGTTAGACACGTGGAGCGAGGCAGAACATTAAACGGAGAGAACTCGGCGAAACGACCGGGCAAGAAGATAACACATAGTTCGTGTACGATGACGCTATCGGTTCCGCGGCGCCGAGCATGAGGTCTCCCACGCGGTCAAAATACATGGCAAGTCGCGTATGCATCTGGTTGGTCTCTCGCGGCCAGCTTACCAAACGCAGGGTGGTCATCGTTATGTTCACGTTTTATGCTTCGCGTGATTTGTTTTTCGGTCTTCCTAACCGCGAAAGCCGCAATCTTGTAGGCGGAGGAGTTATAAACTTATAGCCAGATTTCAGGGACTCGCGTTGCCCTGCCTTTCAACTTCCGGTCACTGGAGACACATCTCATTTGTGGAAATAAGCAGCTGAAGCGACTTGTGCCGGGAGCTGCTCAAGAAAGGAGATTCCAAAGATTTCAACGAACGCGTTTGGCTCGTTGATGTGTAGGGAACCAAAGGGAGAGAGGCTCCTGTAGATGTGGCCACTAAAGGTAATACTCCTGGCGGCCGACAACTTCTAATTTGCACGACCACCACTGGCAAAACACTTCGTGAATGATCGGTACAGATGCAAAGATGGAGCCTCCTATTGCGGCTTCGGGAGAAAACTCGTAACACTCTTTATGGTTTAGTTGTTCGCCAAGCCCGGATTTGCCGGAATGAAAGCGATCATGTGTTCCAAAATAAAAAAAAAAAGGAAAAAAAAACAAACTTGCTTACCCGGGCTGTCTTGCTCGTCCGTGTTAATGCCTTCTTATCTAATTTTACGACGTGAGAGCAGGTGTGCTATATCAGGGGTTGTTTTCCGTGCAAGAATTCACGTGGCTGCCACGGAAAAGGGACCGAAGTGAAAAGCTCCACACCCTTTTGTTTTATTTTTATGTACTTTTTGTATTCTTTATGCGCGTTTCATGTTACACTCGTATGTCGTTAATCCATCCCCAATAAAATGGATACCTCACTGTATAGACGTCATTCTCGGAGAAGAACTGGGTACATACATGCATTTTTATGTTGTTGTTATGAACAACATACTCACATTATGGACGCTTTTTTGGGGGGACGGAGGCTTTCATAATAACGAGACATGTGACAGAACCAATACCGTTCCTAAAACGATACCGCGGGGCTTCCTACAGCTGTTCCTGTTGATGGTTGATGGGACCACTCAAAGAGCGTGAAAAGGACATGTCTCTGGGTCTTCCCTGTACATAATTTGTGCAAAGATAGGACAGGAAGACACATGACAATCACCATGACTTTGCACTTTTTATGCTATTTGATTGGTCCAATCGGCTCGTGGCGTCGGCTGCGTCTTGATTTATGAAGCGCAGTATAGTGAAATTTGATATTGATATTTTTGGATGCGAACTAACATTCAGAAACTGCATTGATATGTTCCTTTGATTCTGACATGTCAGTATTCAATCTCGAGATGTAAATACTTCCTATGATGACTAAAAATAAAGCAAATGAATATAATAGTCTTGTGCAAATAGTGGATTTTTGGTTCGAAACAAATTCGAAGCAAATAGAGATCTTGGTCGGATATTCTTGATTCGAATATCGAATAGTTCTTCCACGCTTTCACTACCTTAGCATAATGCTTAGACGAAAACCCAGCTGAACTTGTGAAGGTTGTTCCACTTGTTCATTTATAAGCCAAGTTTAATTTTCTATATGTTGACCTCAGAATGTTTGATGTCTTGGGATGGTAAGTAAAAGACGGGTTTGACATAAAATGAATTCTATAGAAATGGCCAACTATATCCAATTGAGCGAATTTACAAATCTTAAATTTTCTTTCTTTAATTTCGAGTTTAAAAAAATGTAGTGCGCATGGCGAACGCACGTTGTAAGGGCATTTCTGTCTAACATATACTTTTGCAAAACAGTCAGTTTAATTTTGAAACTTTTACTACAGTGTAGATTGTTTAGACCCCTCAATATTCGCGAGCCCTTAATTTTTGGTGAATTGAAAAATTCGCAGAATTTACAGGCACGCGAAAATTTCGGTCCTAAAGAATTTCAATGCAGGTCTCTGGAATTCACGACGTTTAGTGACCGCGACTATGTCCTCTGTGACCGATTCGCGAAAAGTAGGGGCCGCGAAAATAAAGGGTTTTACAATGTACAGATTCATAAAGTTTTATATTTATTTTCAAATAGAGCCGGCACGCGTGCACAATCCCGCTTTGAATGTTTTTTTTTTTTGTTTCTTTTTTGTTTTTTTCCATGCATGCAATTGCGATATTCATACATTTCCAAGTGTTTTCCGCGGCCGGTTACCCCGTTGAGTGCACTTCTTACCGAGCACCGATGTAATGCGGAGAAGCAACACCGTGGAGCTCGCTTTTACGGGGTATTGTTTCTCCGCAGTATATCGATGCTCGATAAGAAGCGCACTCAACGGGGTAACCCGCCAGAATCAACACTTCAAAAAACGCGAATAGTGCAGTTCTTCTCGAAGCGAATACAAAATAGGGTATAACTCGAAACTACTATTCGAAATCCCCGTCATTGGCCGAGCTCCCTCCGCAGGCTTCAGCGATAAGCCCCCTGAAGTGCTTTGCGGAAAGGCAGGCACTCCACATTTCTTAGAGTAGATGGCGTAGTTTTTAGCGAAAATAATCAGTAATCAGATTCGTTGAAGTTTGAAACATTCAATACTGAAGGAAAGTAACTTTGTCGAAATTGTGTTCTCTGCAAGCATGAACAGTATTAATTTCTTTTGCCACCTGAAAAATTTGTGGCAGTGTCACCTATGTGCTTTGGTCACCGACAATCTAAAAGTCACAGGGCGGGGCCGATTATGTTCAGAATTCTTCCTTCTTGAAATTATTAAACTCTCGCTGTCTATGATCCAGTATGGCCAGTTGGTGACTCTCAAGCGTATAACGAGGCTGCAAACAAGGTATGTTGGTGTAGTCCGCGAATAACGTTTGCCGGTTCGTAAAATCGAGCGACGAAATAAAGGTATTGCGAATTATCAACCTTGCGAAGAGAAAAATTTGAGTCTGAAACATGCACCGGCCTCCTTTGTTCCTTTCCATAGTTGTTCAATCTGTAAAAAATTGTGCTACGTCGTATCGTTTTGAGGAGTTTGTGTCGCCAAAAACTTAGTACCGAATTTTCAGAGTCCGAATGTCTTGTTTCGGTTGATTGATTATTTCAACTCGCACAAGAACGGCAGTGCCTTTATCTTGGTGCACATTTACGTAATTAACAACGGTAAAACATTATAAACTATAAAGTCAAATACCGTGGAAGCCAATACTGGCAACTCCCGCAGAAAACGGGCGAAAAGTGATTGCAGCGCCCCTGGCGAGCTCGGAGTCTCCGCTAGCAGACAAAGTCTCCAAAATGCATTGGTTTTGCCTATCTCCGTGCGAGGTGACCAACGAAAAAAAATTGTCACGGACATTCGCTGCTTTAAAAGTTAAAAAATGGGTGCCAGCTCATGAGTGAAGGACATTCTCTTCGCGTGGGAAAGATGTTACAGCTTTCTGGGTGCAATTTCGCAGTTCTCCCGAAGAAAACATTCAGTCACAACTTATGTAAGCCAAGCAAAACACAAATGTATGCCTTCGCGCTGTTCCGCGAAAAAGGGAAATGTACAAACATTTCAGAACACAGCTTCGTTTCAACTTTATTGTTCTTATCAGTCAATTCGTTTTGTCGTTGCAATTCCCATTTCTCATGAATGTCCTGCTTATAAGTTATAACTGTTTCGTCGAACAGGCGAGCTGGCTAATCCCGTTAAGATCGTCTCCGGATGAAGAAGCAGAAGTCAATTTCGAACCACGTACGTTACGGCGATGTCAGTATGCTCCGAAAGAAGTCGTTGTGCATATGCAAATCTGACGCGATTAACAAAAGCGGAGTTACGAAAAAAGCAGACTTCTCGCGCTTGCAAAGAAAGAAGGGGAGAGCGTCGTAGCCCCGCGAAAAAAGGTGATTTCAGTCACGTTATTTACAGTGCACAAATTCCGAT